GACAAGATTAATACACTCTATACGCTAAATGATGGAAAGAATCACATTTCAACCATTCTTTCAAGCTTTGACGATAAGATGAAAGCCTTAGCCAATGCAAACAACAGTCCACAATCATCTGATAACGATCTGCTTAACTTCAGCAAGTTATCTAACTGGTCCATGTTTCCCGATACACCAAAAGCTCAGGGGAGGCAGTCTGTAGTGATCAAACAAACAGTTGATGACGATATTATTAAGATGTTAACAGCGTCTGACTCCAATACTTGGGATACTCTCGACTTGATTCGTAAGGACCTTAAAGATCAATCCTCTAAACTGGACGATATAAAGCAACTCGTTGACGAGAAATCATTTAATATGATTGCAAACAATCGACAAATAAACTCAATAAATCAACGTTATTCTCCGCTGGTCGACGCTATTCTTTCATCTCAGGAAAATGTATTATCCATCAACAACAAGGACGATATTACTATTACGAATATCGACAGCACAGAGCAAAACATATCGAATGCATCCAATCAAACAGAATTTCCCCCGAATATCGATCTGATCTCTGGGAACCCTACCACCATGAACAAGCAAAAAGAGGCAATGTCCCAATCATCAAATAACTTAAATTCATCTGCTGAAACGACTAAATTTGTTACGCAAAAGAGTCTAATGACCAGTTCATTAGATGGTAGGCCCGGATTAGAAGATATTCCACAAATGGAGGTTAAGCCAAACACACCAACACACAATACTGAAACTAATACACTCAATCACCCTGATATCAATCAACCAGATATGGCAAACAGCAACTCTCTACTTGAAGTTGTTGCCATCGAAGCACTTCAAGCTTTGGAATCAAGCACTACATCGCTGCTTCAGGGATCATCACTTAATCATTATGACCACACTATGGTTAATCATAAACAAATAAAAGGAAATAAATTGAATAGGGAATTTCACATAACAAAATTCAGCACAAATACATCAGTGGAAGATGTCAAAGCTTACATGCGATCAAAAGTACAATTTGAACCGGGAGATGTTCGAGTCATAAGACTAACAAAGAAAGATCAAGACATAATGCGTCTTTCATATGTTAATTTCAAAATTGAAACATGCGATCTAATCGCTGAAGTCATTCTCAATGAATCCTTTTGGCCCGTAAATTGCAAAATTACACCTTTCATTCGTAAAGACTTATGCAATTTTACAAAATCTCAAACTTGCCCAAATCTTTCAAACAACATTTTGGATTTTCCAACAGCTCCACCTATTCAACACAGGAAATAGAAGAGTCACAAGACAATATAGAAAGTGGCTTTTTCGATATTTTCTACGGCAACATACGGAGCGTCAACAATAAGTGCAATGAATTACTTTTATCTACAAATTCTACCAACTACAAAGCGATTGCATTCTGCGAAACATGGCTGGATCCATCTCAAAGTGACAGTGAATTTTTAGATAATAAATACAAATCATTTAGAAAAGACAGAGCTGACTCTTCAATCAAAGCAAATAGAGGTGGAGGCGTACTCATCGCTTTACTAAAAGAAATCGATTGTGAAGAATTTTCAACCCCCGAAATGAAGGATTTAGAAGCAGTTTGTGTTAAATTAAATATTAATAAATCTACGCTGTATATCTACTGTCTTTATATTCAACCTAATGCTGATATATCCGTCTTCAAACAACATTTAATGGCAATCAACAGCATCAAAGTTAAAACAGCTGATCAAATTGTCATCGTTGGTGATTGGAATATTCCTGAATGTGATTGGAAATCGAATGATGACGGTTTCGATCTACTTCCTATGATCGGTGATTCAAATAGTGAAAAAGCGGTAATTGCACGGTACGTCACTTCTCATATGCTGGACATGGGCCTCTTTCAAATTTGTAATCTACGCAATAGAAGTCAAAACATTCTCGATTTAGTTTACACAAATATTCCTGAACTTTCTATGGTCGAAAAAGCTGACCTACCACTAATACCAATCGATATGGCAGACAAAGCGCATAATCAAATGGTTTGTAGCATTGAATGCAAACCACGATGCTTTACATCAAACAATTCATCGCCATCAATTTATTGCTTTAAGAAAGCGAATTATGATTTGATAAACGACCAATTAAATCATATCGATTTTGACAGTATACTTTCATCTAACGATATTAACGAAATGGTGAACTCATTTTACGATGTGGTATACGATGTCATCGATGAATTTGTACCAAAATCAACCATTAGAAACACAAATAAACCAATTTGGTACGACAAAAAGCTTGCAAACCTCAAAAACACGAGAAATAGACAATATAAAAAATTATGCAACAACCGTACTATAAAGATTATGACCAATCTAAATTTATTAAGGCTCGTGATGAATTTGACATATATCAAAAAGAACGATACGAAGGCTACGTCAAAGGAATTATAATGGAAACAAAGAAAAATCCGAGAAAGTTTTGGCAATTTGTAAACGGAAAAAGGAAATCAAACCAATTACCATGTAAAATGGAACTAGACGACAGAATTGCCACCACGGATAAAGAAAAAGCTCAACTATTCGCTGATTTTTTCTCATCCGTTTATACTGAACATGAGTCAGACAATGATCTCATAGAATTTATTCAAAACCGAAATGACCAGAACACATTTAGAATTATCCCGTCACCGGACGCAATCTTTTTCGTACTTAATGAGCTCGACATGAATAAAGGATCTGGCCCTGATAATCTATCACCAATATTGCTAAGAAAATGTGCAGAAAACTTTGTCAAACCGCTCCATATCATATTTACGAAATCGATAACTGAATGTATATATCCCGATAAATGGAAAATTGGAAAAATAGTACCTATATTCAAATCGGGGAAGAGAAATGATATACGTAATCACAGGGGTGTAAATATAATGCCAACTGGAGCCAAAGTATTCGAAAAACTCAATTATAATCAACTTAAATTAATTATTCTACCACGTTTGTCAAAAAATCAACATGGGTTCTTGCCCAATAGAAACATTGAAACGAATTTGATGGAATTCACAGCTGACATAAACATCGCATTTGATAAAAGCAAACAAACTGATGTATTTTATGCCGATATTTCCAAAGCCTTCGATACGGTTAAACAATCACTACTTATTCGAAAACTCGCCAAATATTCACTCAGTAATGAAACTCTCCTATGGTTTGTTTCATATTTCGAAAATCGTAAACAATTTTGTAGTGTGGGAAATTCAAACTCAGAAACATTTGGTGTTCCTTCATCTGTTGGTCAAGGATCTATTTTGGGGCCACTTTTATTTCTGGTGTTTTTTGATGATTCTGACGATAACATTGGTCAATCAAAAGCATACAATTTCGCTGATGACAAAAAAATTTCAAGAGTTATAAACAACATCAATGATAATATACAACTCCAACTATCAATCGACAACTTTATCAAATGGTGCAATAATAACTGCCTCTCAGTGAATCTCAACAAATGCAAAATCATCACATTCTCACATACTAAACAACCAGTCAAATATGATTATTACATTAATGGGGAAAAAATAGAACGAGTGAACGAAATTCGAGACTTAGGCGTAATTTTAAACACTAAATTGGACTTTAAATCACACATTGAATTCATCACTAAAAAAGCTGAATCAATGCTAGCTTTTGTTAGACGATTATGTAGAGCAAACTACAGTACCGACATCTCCAAATTACTCTATACATCTTTAGTTCGATCCAACCTGGAGTTCGCAAGCTCAATTTGGTCACCACGTCAATTAGAATATAGATCAATGATTGAGAGCATTCAAAAACAAGCTGTGATATTTTTAAACGGTGACTATATAAATCGAAATGACAATGAATATATACTTGCCCCATACGAAGAAAGAACAGAGAATTTGGATTTAAATAAATTGATTAGAAGGAGAGTTAACTCATCTATTATGTTTATTCATAAATTAGTCAAGGGTAGATTCAATTGCCCAGCACTAATGGATGAAATGAACATCAATCGAGGAATAAGAACTCTCAGAAATCCAGAGTTCATTCGAATAAAACATTGCAAAACCAACTACGTTCTCTATTCGTCATTTTACACTGCATGCAGAGCATTCAACTTTGCTGCTCTGCATATTGACCCAACATTACCAACGGCTGTATTCGCGAAAAAGCTAGAAAGTATTCCGGATAATTTGTTCGGAGACTTATGCAAACTGAGAAGCTAACGATCATTACAATACCAATCGATGTGATATTTAAACTAAAGAATTTATTTATTTTATTTATTATTATTATTTTTATTACCAATTTAGTTTTTTAATTAATTATTTAACTGTATGTTTAAATTTGATTTTATCTGACTGAGCTCAAATGATCTCGAGAATTTTGAATTTGTCTATTTTTGTGATAATACTTCCTTTTTGAAACTTATTTTTTAATTTAATTTTTAACGAATTTTGTATTATACATTTGATATTTGAAAAGATCTTGGTTTTTAAGGAGGGTTCACTACTCTTTTCCAAGCTTTGATTTGTAACTGTCGGCCAGTTTTGGTAGACAATAAAACCGAATAAATAAATAAATACAACGTATTGATTATTCATATGCATTTCTGTCTACATATACATTATGTATCACTCTGTGTATTCAGTCAGATTTTTCTTAATTTGCTTGTGTCAGCAAAATTCAAATTTCAACCGAAAATCACACATCTCTCTTTGTTTATAATTTGACATTTCTCGCCGACGTTCATTTTGCTTGTTACTTCAAATGTGTACGGTGCATTGTGTTGATTAGTTTCAATCGTAACATTTCAGAAGGAGTTGTTTTGTAAATCAGAACACAATATATTCTGATGGTGAAATGAAAGTGACTAAATAAATCGTTTTCTTCGACAACACAAATAAAATCTCATTTTCATATCAAAACGTTTGAAAAACAGTTTCTGTTCATTTTCAAAATTGTGCTTCAAAACACGAGTGCTTTTATGCTATTTTACAAATAATATTTTCATACGGTGATTTACATTTCGATTTTGATCATCGGCCATTTTTAATAAACGTTTACTTTTGTCGATTCAACAATAATTCCCTATAAATTCGGGTGCATTTTTGAGGTGATTCCACAGTTTAGTAAAGAATTTCACAGCAGTAAGTGAAGCGTCTCTTTGACCGCTCTATATTTGTATATATATTTTTCAAATGAAAAAGTGTTTTAATTAAATTTATGCAATTATTTAATCTCTCTCGCTAGCCTTGTGTTCCAATTGTCGACCATTGCATCGTGAATACAACATTTTCGAACGCGTTTTTGTCATTTTGCAGTGAATGTGACAGTGTTGTTGGTAAGTACTCAAAAACGAACCATTTTTCTTGATTTTTTTTTTGAAGTGATCAATGGACTGTGTGTCACGAATTTGACAATTTTTTCGTGTTTTTTTTCTGAACAGATTTAATTTTCATTACAATGAAGAGGAGACGTGCAAAAATAAATTCAGCCTTTAAGAAAAATACGGCAAAATTGAACGACAATGAAGAGTTGCGATCGATAAAACTGTCAGCGCCTTCGGTATTCAAGTCTGAATATTCGGAAGCGCTAACAGAGCATTTCTTCCATAAATGCTACAATGGTACAGTAATATGCTACCTAGGTTCGACATTGTTTTTATATGTTGTCAACCTTGCAGCAGATAACGATGATCGGCAATATTTCATTGACAGTGATGGAAAAAATGTTATACGTGAGTGTTTCGCCGCCGTATCACGAGAAAATTTGGAAAATCCAAAACAACCGAAAATACCACGTGCATTCCTTGAAATGATTGCCAATGATCAATTTGAATGGCCAAGTAGGTACCAAATGGGCAACGCATTTGAATACTTGAATCAACAATATTTGTCAAATGTTACGACAAATTTGACAACGCATTTAGATAATATATTGGAGAACTTCTTGCAAATGATTCGCTATAAATTGAACGAAGACCCTAATCGGCTCATAAAATTTGATGGCATTGACATAAGAAATGCAAAGAACAATCTTATGTTCAATCAAGATTGTACCGGAGGCGATCAACACCGAACGAACAAAATGAATGAGTTGTATGAACAAGTCGCCGTACGCTGTTTACCATCATTTCGCGAACGTTTGTCAATGATTGAATACATCGAGAAAAAGTGGTTTGAATCGTTGTGGTTTTTCATCTTCATTCAACGTGAAATAAGTATATTTTTGGAAGAGCATCACGATCTTGTGCAATTATGGCTACGACACCAACGCCATCCGCTTTTTTATTGCAAACCATCCAAGCCATTGCCACCAAAAATAAGAAATTTCACCGTCATACCGATATGTGACTCGAAGTTGAAACACATTAAATTCGATCAAGATGATTTGATGAGCCTGCTGGCCCAATGGAAAGTTGTGCCGAAGATATTTAACAATGATCATGGAGGGCATAATATGTATAGCCGTAACTATTACAAGGAGAACGAAGATGAAGCATGGGTCATTTTGTTCAACATGGACAAAATCAACGAGATCAAGAAACCGAACCAACAGTTTCATCATATGATAGTCTGCGATAGCGTTTCCGCGTCGGTAGTGTACAGAACACCAAAGCCTGAGATCGAGAATACGGAGCTGCATCGACAAAGAATCAAGCAAAAACTCGAGAACAATGAGTATAAATACATCGTCGCAATTGATCCCGGTATGAAAACATACTTAGCCGGAATTCGTCGGAACATTGAAGATCGCACTGAGGTGAGTTTATATTTAAATAAAATGTTTTCTACAAAAATCAATGCTCATTTTTAAATTTTTTTTGTTAAAGGAAAATTTCAAGATATCTTCGAAGTCATATCATTGGGGTGCCGGACGAAAAGTCAGAGACAAAATGGGAAAGCGTATGACTGCCAGATTCACGCAACGAGAGCAATTGGACCGTGAAAGCTATCCATCGATACCATCACCGCGAGGAATCCGATGGAGAAATTACGTCAGGCATCGATTAACCATGGTGAAAGATGCAGTGGCTGCATATGCTCGGCGATGTTATGCACGGCTTTCGTTTGACAAATACATCGGGTCACAAGGTGAGAAAGATTGGCTGGCGAAAGTAATAACAAAGAATGAGCCATCGCTTATAAACATCGGAGCAGTGGATATGGCACCCAATTCACCAATTGGCATAAAAAAGGGAAAACGATGCCCAGGTACACGGCATCTTCAATGCAGCGTTAAAAAACTTGGCCATTCAGATGTACACAAAGTGAATGAAGATTTCACATCTCAACACTGTGCGAATTGCCAGAAGAAATTCCCGATTCAAACACAAAAATATCGATTCAAAGTGTGCCGTAACTGTACTCGCGATGCACCAATACCACAAGAAATAGAACCGTATATCTCACTACCACGGCTAATTGTGACGAAGAAGAGTCAACGACGCAAAAAGAAAGATAGCTGCGTGAAGAAATTGATCGCAAGAGGCATCATGGATCCAGCAAATCAACCAGCAGAATTTCAACCAGGGCGATTAGAGTCAAAGAAAATGTACTTTCTGAAAAACTGGCTACTAAACCCTGTGAATGCAATTCAAATGGGAGGCGACGCTGATAAATATCCGGAACAACAAAAACAACAGCAACATCAAAAACGATTTTGCACCGTTTGGCATCGAGACATTGTTGCGGCTAGATGCATCATGTACAAAGGTAAACACTGTAGTTTATTTGGTATATTTTCCAATAATTTAAATTGCCTCTTATTAATTACAGGTCTTTGTTACATTTTCAATTTGGAAATGCACAACTCGTATGTCAGAGCACCAGCACCTCCAAGACCACCATTGCGTAGAGGACAACCAGCACGCAAAAGAGCCAATGCAAACGTTGTTCCAGATCAATGATTAAGCAGCGTCGAAATCAAAAAGAAAAAATATAATAACTCTGGTAGTTAGTAGCAAAGCTTGTATTTTGTGGCTTTGGTGATTGTGTATAGTACACATTGTCTAAATGTGTAATTGTACACAGTTCAGTACAGATTTATCTGTAGGTAAGTATTATTTTAAAAAATGTTAAAAATGAATTTAATTTGGATGTGGCGCTCAGTTAAATAACATTCGAAAAAAATCCATTTTCGCCGATAGAAATATGGCTCTATAGATTTTAGCTAACTTTTTCTTTCTCCTTCTTTTTCTTCCACTGGTGACGTTGAAAATGACTGAAACTACACACAAATCCTGCCACAAAATTGACCGTCAACATATGCCCGATAATGGATGAATTTGCCCCAACAATTGTTTATTGGGTAGGGAAAATGGTAAGTCTCATTACGAATGACAATGATAAATGCGACCTTTGAAACAAGCCAAATGTGGATACGGCATAAAAAAACGGCACATATTGAGACATGTAAACATTATTGCCATGAATAAGTGCAATGTTCACACACTGACGACAAATAGCAAAACCACATGGAATTTGTCATATTACCAGTAATCAGACGGAGAGATGGACACATTGCCAATTTAGCAGACACACATGCACGCCTTCTATCAATTTTATTCCATCAATTCGATTACAATGTTTCGGATAATCGAAATGATAGTGAAAGAGGTTTTTGTCCTCGAATCCGGTGTATGGCCGAAAGTGTGATGGATCCAATTGGTTTCGTGGAATGAATTTTCTAGAATTCGAATGATGAAAAACGTAATGGTAACCCATCAAAGCATCTATTCAATTCAATCTAGCAATCATAAAGAGCAAAGACGAGATCCAAACGAATAAAAGGCAAAACACGTTGCACTCGACAACGATAAAATCAATGAACTTATAGCGTGTGTACGTGTGTGTATGTATATGTCTGGGTTGAGAGGTGGATGTTTTTAAGTGCCACTTATATTCACATGTTTCTATTTTGATCACGATGCAAATGTTAGTCATAAGCACATTCATTCGGTCGCGAAAGTTTTAAAACAATTCAGTTCCACGTGACGATTCGTACGAGACACGATGACCAAAAAAAAGAAAACTTTGCATACAAATTAATGAAGTTCTAAACGAATAATAAAAAATGTCTCTCTCAACTTTACATCAACTCTAGAATTTTCTAATTAAAACATCAAAATTGTCATAAAATTGCACCTACTTTTGTGTACATTTCAACTTTTACTTTCGCGCTGTCGTCTCACTTGTCGTGTTTCGTTCTTTGGTTTTTATCTCCTTCACTTAGTCTCTGTCGGTGTGTTGCACACTTGAATTTTTATAAAATCTCTAACACACTGTATCATCTTCATTTGAATGATGTGTAACTGATGATTCTCGTTCTGATTTCTTGTTCTATTCAAAATTTATAGCGACGTTGAGATTTAATTTCAAATCAGCATTCGGTATACACATTGTCAGAAGTTTTGTGTGGAAAAACAAATCACTTTTTTTTTGACGTAGCATTGCCAGTCATTTCATCCCATCTATTTTGTTTTTCGTCTGTGAATTTTTTAACATACACAGAAAAAAATGAGAGCGTATTTTAGAGCGCTTTGTAAATGCGCTGATTTACGCTCGGTGGTCGGAATTCGTTGAGAGAATCTGTTTTTTTTGTGTCCCGTTTCACACACACACCCCGAATTTTCTTCGGTTTTTCGCTTGTTCAGCAAGTACGGAAAATTAGTTGATTTACTTTTTTGCTAGTAACTTTTATTTTTCGCTTTGCTTCATAAATATTTTCTGTTTTATAATGATTTCAAGATAAAAAGAAATGAGATAATATTGAATACTCTCTCACTCTCTGTGTTTACCACGATCCCGCGAGAGTCAAACGCACACGAAACAAACGGAAGACAATGTAGAACTGAAACAATCTAACGAAACATATTCCAAACCCCCGGACAAAGACAACGCGCGCGAGCATCAACAGACACAATCCGAAGAACCGAAAATCTTTCGTACCACCGATTTTTCCGTCCATTTGAAATGAACAACTTGCATTTGTGAATTTTACTCAGGTGACATTCATATGAAAAAGTCGAAAAAATTGATGTCATAAAGAAAAATTGATGAACACATCGAATAATTTGGAGTACAGGAATTGTGTACTAAACTTAAAAAAGAATGGTTCATTACATAAAAATCGTGTATGCATTTAAAAAAAAGAAACTTCATCACCCTAAAGTATGTATACCTCTCAAGAGAGATTGTGAGTCGTTTGTTTAGACACGATTTGTTGGCTGAGTGTGTTTCTCTTTCTCCATCTCTCTATCTCTCTCCTTCCCTCTCGTTCACATTCAATTCGACTGTCAGTGTATTGGTTAGTCCTATATTTATATGTAAATGGTGAGAATAGCAAGTATTTATATGTGCGTTGGACGCGCGCGTGCTTTTGACTTTTGTATGTTTTCCCACAAACAGCGATTTTCTATGCACACACACACCGACCGATGGATGTGATGCGCTCTCTATATTATGACTGTGCCAACCTGAAATAATATATGTGTTGCTTTCCTCTCTGGCCATGTATATGTGCAGCACATATACATTTTACATATATGGATGTGTGCGAATGTGGAGAGTTTGTTTATGTATTTCGCACCAGTACCTAGCTGAATCAATGGATGGAAACGTAAAATATCCATTAAACATTGAAAAGCTAGTGGATACATGTGCTGGTGTATTTGTGCAGGCTTTTTAATTGAATCGTATTGCGTCTCCTTCTGTCCACCCCACCACACCAGTCTCGCTCTCTCTCGCTCGTTCACATTCTTAACAGGCGTGTAAAAAAGCACCTTATCTAATTTGATTTACATTTAGTATTCGTAACGGCTGTTGTACAGAATGCTTTCATTTGGACTGGCACGATTTGTTGCTAGTAGTTGTAGTAGTTTATTCGTTCTGACCATTCATACATTGTGCTCTGTAAACCAGGGCATGTTTTGGATTAAAACAGATAAAAAAAAGTCATCATGTCGGCGTTGAAGCTTCAGGTTTCGAGTGGCATGATTAAATATGCTCTGATTATTATTATTATAAAGGATTTTTAAGTTTTTTGTATGCTTTATTCTGTTGTCCAATGCCTTTTTCCCCGCATCTCTTCAATCCTTGTGCATATGGAAACAGCATGCGCAAACTTAACGGAGATGCAAAAAGGTAAGTGATTGCGAATGTTGTATACTTTTTTTATGTGCTTCAAATTACTGCTGGTTTTTGTTGTTGTTTGTTTGTGTGTTGACGAACCAGTTGGCATTTTCGTTACGATTGCAATGAGCGTGAACTTTTCAATTTGATTCGAATGAATATAAATGGTTTCAATGGTTTGACTCTTTTTTGTCTCTCTATTTCGCTTCGCCTTTTTTCCTGTCCATTTTGCTCCTAATTCTCTCAATCACTTTGTGCCCTTTTTTCAAGACTGTGCTTGTATGTGAGACATACACATCAATATTCCTTCAGCAGTGATTTTCACTCTCGCCGATATGCCGTGGAGGAGAATAATGTTTGTCGGAGAAATAGAATGTGCGAATATGTTTTTTTTTTTTTTTTGAAATCTCTACCTGAACACATCGACTCTTCATCTAATTTAGTTCGCAATGAACAAATTTGACCGAATCTCCGCACTTTTTTTTTGTCACACAACATTTTTCATCGCATTTTGTCTCACCGAATTTCACCTTTTCGCACACTCGAACTCACCTTTGATGGTGATGTGCTTCGCGTTCGTTCGCCGAACCTTTTAATAGGGCAATTTGGATTTTTTCATATATTTTTTTTTTGGTTCTTGTTTTATAATTTAATTTGGCAAAAAAAAAATATCCGAAAGGAAAAAAAATATATCCGTGAATCGTGCTGTATAAATTCCACAGACACGCACATATAAAATAAAATGTCATCTTACGGATGTAAGATGAACTTTTCCGCACTGTGATCCACAACATGCATTTATTACGTATTTTTTGCCGTAAATATGAATTCATGAGAAAACTAAATCTGACGAGTTTTGCGATACAAATAATTTTTGTTGGACTTTTCAATGCCTGTATGATATCGTAATCATGTGAAAATTTGCAGATGTTATTTTTTCACAAAAAGCTAACATTCTGAAAGTTTGAAGAAATTTCAATACAATTGAGTGGTACCTGCCATTCAAAATTTTCGTTTTTGAGCAAAAAATCCAAAATTTTGTTCGGGAGGTACATATATATAATACATATTTTTGAGTGTTAGGAATACATTAAATATCACTTTTGGAAGAAAAATTGAATTTTCCCCATGGATGGCCATGGGCATCACACCAGACATGACACTTTACTCTATCAACCAAATTCGCTCAAAATCTATTGGTTTCTATTCCTCGGCATCCCCAATCATCCTGTGAAGTCAGATTTTGAATTACTTTTCTTGTTTGAAAGTTATCGTGTTAACAAATTTTTGCGTACAGGGTACATTTTTGATGGGTGTTAATTTTTCGACCGATTCCAATACTTTACCTTACACACTAGGTGTGTGCGGAAAAGTAATATGAATGCTTGTTTAAAAATGAGAAAATGATATTGGTTGCATATGTACCGTGTACACATCGTATGTCTCTGTCTATCTCTATCTATCTGCGCTGTTCGTTAATTGCGACGTGCAAATATTTACCTATGTATAGTCGTTTCCAAAAAGATCTGTGTTGTCAAACTAATACAATGAATTTCGGAATGCATTTCCATTCAAAAGTACACAAGGCTCCTTAGTTAAACGTGTCAATTTGGTTTGAATTTTGTTGAGGGTATGTTGTTTGTTCAAAATTTTGACGGTTCGCTGTAACAGATCTTATTGACACCGACCGTACATTGGATGATTAAACAGCAAGCATAAGCTAAATCGAGAGCGCTCTTCCGTCATCATGCAATCGAGAGGCGTGCAAGGAATTTCTCTCTTTCTCTACTATTACATTCCGAGCATTTTGTCACGAACATTATCTTCAACAACAGTTTGGAAATGCCACGTTTATGTTAACTGGCAACTAGTTTAGTGTGACGCAGCGTTTAATTACAAAAAGCGAAAACTAGCTGGTCAGTCTTTTGTTTCTCTCTCCTGTGTCGAAGATAGAAATAAACAGACCGTTTTTGTTCGCTACATACGTGGTAATGAAGTGTGCGACAACCGAGAATCTGAATGAGTTGAAATTGATTGATGACTGTAAATGCGATAAAGTCGATTGAATCATTTATTTTCGAAGCTCCTTCTGACCCCAATTCGATTGACAATCGAAAATTCAGTCTTAAAACGTTTGAATTCATTTGTCATTATGTTTCATTATTCATCCGATGACTAAGTGAATTTTAAAATTCAGCTCACCTACATTTTAAATTACTAATTGATTTAATTTCACATACGAATTTTACACGTTTTGAACAAAGTCATCGAAACGTTTTTTTTCTTTCAATTTGTCGCTAAACGACGCGGAACATTTAATTTGCAACTGAAGCAAAAAGCAGACAATAGGCATTAAAAAAATCAAAGGCGAAAAAAATGTTCTATATTTTCTTCTGCTTGCATTCACTTCTCGCGCGTTTAAAAGAAAAATCTTCGCTTTACATAAACAGAAAAATCACCAGCTGTGTCTATGATTACTTACTTTTCCGCACAAGTGATGTGTATGGTAAACATAATCTCAAATAAATGAATACGAAGAATTGTTTGCACCAATTTCAATAGACCAACTAAATTTATTTATCGAAAAATTCATTTCTATTTCTAGTGCAAGTATAGATAAGTCTGCGATAGCGATTTTAACACACCATCTACATTTGATGTTTAGGAACATCACTGACGTTGATGTCTGAAAACTAAACTCGAATTCTGGAATCAAATTCTTTAAATCCTAAGATTATATACATTCATCTCTGAAATTAAGATTCAAAAATGTCAAAGCGACATCACTATTAATTTTAAAAAAGTAATGAATATCAAATTTTTTTCATATATTTACAAGTTAAATAATCCTGCCATTTAGTTCGGTAAGCTAATGATTATCTTAATTCCAGAATCTCGGCTTGTCTTTGTGCAGAGCAATTGTGTCGAATTTGGTTGAAAATTTCGGTGGAAAATAATCCTTCACACTTTTTTCATCTCTGAAATCACGAATTTAAATTGTCAAAATGACATTTCTAAAATTATTTAAAAAATAAATATTAAAATGTTTTATTAACATCACATTGGTTTTTTAGTTTATACAGATGCTACAAATAATGTAAAATGTCAAAACACACACACTTGTACGTAGCTGTCAAAATAAGCTACAAGAAACACATTTTTATTGCAGCTCTGCTGTTGCTGCAATAATTTGCGGAAAAACCGCCTCCACTTTTTCTGTGAGCATGATTCACCAAGTTTGATGAAATTTCAATCAAAAATATGGGTACCTCTAAGGGGCTTAATTCAAAATTTTCAACGACTGAATTCTATAATAATATCTAAATTAACTGAATTTTTCAGCAAACGAGTGAATTCCAGTGAATTCTACGGCGATTTCATTCAAATATGTGAGATAGTGGTGAATAGTTTCTGCTGATAATTACTGCAATATTTATATTTTGTGTAACGAAATTGTAAATGTTTTTTATATTTTTTTAATAAAAATTAATTTTATTTTCAATTTTGAGCGATTTTCTATCGAAAACAATCGGAAATATTGAAAAAATAATAAATTAAAAAATATTGCGGTTCTCATAACCTCTCTTTATTATTTTGACACATTTCATTCTATTCACACGAATTCACCGAACTCATCAATAACCACTCGATTCAAAAGTGTGAATTTACGTGAATTCCTGTGAATTTTTTTGCCGTATTAAGCCCCTAGGGTATCTCCCATACAAAATTCTTGTTTTCTGGCTCAAATACGAGAAAAAAAATTTTTGATCGAAATGTCATCAAACTTGCTGATATTATGTATTTTGGTCAGAAAATAAGATTCACAAGTTTTCACGGTGATCAGGTTACCGAAATTGTTGTAGTTTTTATGTATAAATGAAAAATCGTCTGGTTTCGCTTTGATATGCGACCATTTAATATGCTGTTTTATTATAGAGCAATCATTTATTTACTTTAATCGGATTTGGTATACATCGAAATTTATTCTTTACTTCAACTTGAGCTCGAGCTCGAGCTTGAGCTCAAATCAGTGCATTTTGTTCCACAATGATTTTTTTTAGTTAAATCAGGTTTGTAGAGGGGTGGACTGCTATCATTTAAGCCAATTATTTTGAATAAATGTCCATTGGGTGATGTTGTATTTCGAAATTCGGGTAGCCCAGTTAAAATATCATTTGATACCGTTGAAGACGTAACAAAAAGAATATTGTTATATGGACCTCCAAACACCGGTGCTGTTAAATATGGTGATGGAAGTTTAATTTTATCAACAATTTTTTTCGATCTGTGAATAAATAAATAGTAAATCGTTTTTGCTCCATGAAAATTATTGAAAAAAAAATTACTTTCGATTGATTTTTAATACTACAGATCCTTTATACACTGAGACATATATGTAGCGCGTACATCCAATTGCGATTCCCACCGGAAGCATATGCTTAGGAAAGTTTAGTTTCATAAAAACTCGTTCATTGGCTATTCAAAATAAAACATTCACACATTTACAAATTATGTTGAATATTAATTTCGAATTGAAATTTTCTCACACAAATCGCCAGTTTTCGGACACCAAGAAAATTCAGTTATGGTTTGAGTACATCCATCCAAGTGCAATAGTGTTTTTACTTTTGGATCAAATGCAAGGCCAGTTGTTACTTTAAAGTGTTTGGCAATAAGTTTAACTTTTCCATTTTTTGAATATTTGTATAATCCGTGAGAGTCCTGCGTGCCACAAGTGTTTGCATCAAAAGTTCCAACGAAAAAATTTCCCAGTGTATCAGCAACTGCATGGTTCACTAGATGATTTGTGTTCGATTCAACACTGAAAATTTTTTGAAGATTTTTTACATGGCGTGACTTTCCATCCCATTTTATTGTAAAAATCGATTGATTACAGCCAACGCCGTACAAATTTCGCTTATTTAATACGGGAAAGATAAAGCATGGCGTCGAATAAGGATGAAAATCAACCGAATACATTTTGTTCTCACAATTTGAGTAATGATACATTTTCGTTCCAAAAAGATCTGTAAAGTATACGGATTGAGTTTCTGCCTCCCAAATTGGCGAATCGGCTATATTCAAATCGGGTGTTGGTACGGATTTTATCGAATATTTTTGGACCCATTTTGAAGCCAACTGCAATATTTATCGAAACTATTAATGTAATTTATCATTCATATTATTATTATTATTTTGAAATAATATAGAATATTTACAATTAAAGTAATTAAACAACTAAAAAAAATGATTGATTTATACATTTCACTTGAAAGTATCAATTCGATTCAATCAATGTTAATAATTTTGAAGAGATACAGTATCTCAGATACTGCAAAATTATTTAAATGCTTCGCAGTAACGCAATTTGCAATGGCTTTTTTATTTTTATTGTGCATGTGTGATGTGGCGATGAAATGCAAAAAAAAAAACAGCTTTTATTAATATTTAATCATGACAAAATCATTTTTCTTAATAAATCCGCTTTAATGTCACAACTTGGCAACGACATGTGGTCTTGGCAGGTTTATTCAGTAAGAATAATTTAAAAAAAGAAGACACACTTGCACAATGGAAATAAAAAGCGATTGCAA